CGGCAAGAAACCAGCCGCCATACATCTTGATCCAGCAGCATCTTTGTACATTAGAATCAGCAGCCTAGCACGTCCTTTGCCCCAATAGGGACTTTCAGCTATCACTATAGCTCCCGGACGTTAAATAATTATCGTATCATCGTATCGATGTAGTTGATCGGAGCCCTGCGTCTGGATATTATCTAGATGTATAGCACGAGACACTGGCAACAGAGTCACCCAAGAGCAAGCCTGCACCTGGACGTGCTGGCTTCATTCCGCCGGCCAGTACTTGCCACTCCTAACCATTGGCAGAACTGTATCCTTTGTTCTCGCGTTCATCCTGGGTCTGAAGGCACCCGAAGTCCGCACTGGTTGGAGAACTAGACGCGGGCCCCGTACTCTTAACCCCGTGGTTACCGCCCGGGACTGAACCATTGGCATCGTTCAGCCGCGCTATCTCATTCTCCAAGGCGTTATTGCGTTGAAGGAGGTCCCGAATAATGTCATCTTCTTGCTCCAGGCTCTTGAGGTGGCAAATTTGCCGTTCGAGGAGGGAAATGTAGGCTAGATCTGGCAGCGGCTCCATTTGGTCCCCCACTGCCACTGAGATATAAGATAAGACCGTTGACGCAACCGTCGTAATGGTAACTGTCTTGTGAGCGTTTGAAGTAGCAGCAAAAACAATGCGCCAGGTCCTCGAGCAGTATGTTTTAGTCGAGGAGGCGTTTCGGTGTCGGGTACCGTCATGTAGACGATTTTATATAGAGGCACAGTTCTTTGCTCGCAAAGGCACCGCCGCGGTGAAATATCGGAATATTAGCGCGCATGTCGACTGGTGAGTGATGATGTGTCAGTTGCTAGCGGTAATAACTCCGGTGGCACGAAAGCGAGGCCGCCTTGAGACATGGCGGGCGGGCTATAGCACGGCTCTAACACACATATTCATGTGGCGTTAACCTTTCAATATCGAGTTTTGGGCCCAATTCCGAGCTTCGGAGTTGGTTGCTGTGGGACGTCGTTGCTAGTGTCCGTGATGGGAGTTCGAGACAGGCGCAGGCGGGTACGAAAAGATACGCCGACAACCGGCCGATCGGCAGTCCTTGCCTCGATATATATTTTCGCGCCAGCTACTAGAGGATCAAACTGGACGGTCCTAACCCCTAGGAGGTTTGGCTGCACGTCGCACAAAAGCAACGCTGAATCGCGCACATCGGCTCCCTACGGGATCGGCTTAAGGGAACTGGGGGTTGGAAGTGGGACCAGTATCACCGGAGACCACGGTCTATACCTCAGTCTCACGTTTATGCTTTGCATGAAGAGCTGCTTCAACCATTTGCGGACCGTCTGGCAAGACTACCAGCCCTGTCGGCCTATATTGCAGCCTACCTTGGCCTACCTATCTCAACCCCGGAGGCCTTGGCCGACGACTCTGTTTGGGCCGACATTGTTCTCCTCACGCTCTCATGATATTTGGGAGTAGAAAGTGGCTACGCCAGCACCGGTTCTAGGGACATGTGGTGGAGGTCGTGGTGTGGTGCCGGCATTGTTGGATGGGGCGGTCGAAACGGGGTTGCTTTGTGATGGTGGTGGCGCTGTCGGGGTTTTTCCGCGCAGCCAATGTATCGTGCGCCATGGCATGGACCGCGTTGCCACCGACGATAACGGGAGGTGGGAGTAGGTTTGCGGCGTATCTGTGGCTTGCGGAAACAACCGTCGCCAACACAAGACGGTTGAAAGCAACGCTAGTGCCTAAAACGCACCATCATGAGGTGTGGCCGCGGTTGTCAGCCACATTGCGCCTTCGGGCGGAATAGGTATATAGATCCCGAATATGGAGATACCGGAGATGTAAATCCCGGAGCTTGGCGCGAGAGGCTTGAGAGGCTTAGCCTATCCATCCTGTGGCATTGCATTGGTTGTGCAGGGCTCAGAGGGCGCTGGGCCTGGCTGTGCTGTGTCTTCACCCTCGTCATACTCACCTCCTGGCACGGCTACTGAGAAAGGGAATCACGATCAACGACGCTTTAAGCCGGGCCGCCATCATTGGCAATCGTTCTCACTATCGGTAACATGGGGGGCGGCAGCGCGGGGCCTCAGGAGTGGCGCCTAGCCTCCAATTACCGAGCTTGGTTAGGCGGATACGAGGATCCAAATAGATGAGATGACACGGGTTGAGTTGGTTGTTGATGTGACTTCGCTGCGGCGGCGGCGCACTGGGACAAACCGAAGGGGGAAAGCGACGACTAAGACTTCGGACCGGACGAAGAGGAGAAAGCGCTCCGGAGGCAATAACCCGAACGGCAGATGGTGTACCGCCAGGAGCAAAGATATGGAGGATCTGCAAGGTTAGGTAGTCTCCGTTTGCACTAGCCGGGCGGACGGCGTTGTACACACTAGGGAGGAAGACTGTGGGCAGACGAATTCCCGATGTTCTATCTAGTGATGGAATATGGTCGCTCTTTTATAGCTGTATCAGTTGAGGCTGTAGCCTGGTCTGGCTGTAGGCTTCGGTAGGCTTCGTAGTCGTCGTCTAGATTTGTCCGTTGCCACTGGCGACGGAGCCGTTGGACCTCTGCACAGATCTCTTTGCATTCTTGATCGAACCCCGGGATGGATCGTGGTGATGGGTCCGACCATGGAGTTGATGCATCGACCCCTGCGTCAAGAGCCTCGACGATGGAGGACACAAGCGCGTCAATGTCGGCCTTGTCCGTCAGTACCATGGTGTCGTAAAGGACGGGAAGTCGGTCCTTGACTGTCTGCCGGAGTATCGGCGTGTTCGTTTTGGACCAGAGGCGCTTCTTCGTCCTCGGTGCTGCTTTCCACTCCCATTCGAGGGCAACGCCAATCGGGAGGTGGTCGGAGTCACAATCCAGTCTTCTGTCAATCTTGCACTGGATTATGCGGCTCGCTAGGTCCTCGGATGCGAATGTGAGGTCGATTGTCGATTCGCCATCCTTCCACCGGTGGGTGGGAACGCCTGGTTCTGTGAGCAGCTCCAACTGGAAATCCTCGATGATTGTTAGGAGTTGCTGAGCACTTGGTCCATCACCTAGGCGTCGGTGCGTGCTTGACCATAGCGGGTGGTGAAGGTTGAAATCCCCAAGTATTACGGTTTCGGTAAGGTGGCCCAATCCACCAAGAGATTCCGCCAGTGTAGCGAGTGTGTCGGTGCCCACTTCGTTGTACACGTTGAAAATGTCGATTTTTCCGCTGGAGTCGGGGCTTCGGATTGATAGGGAGATGATGTCCTTGGATATGCACGAAACGTTCCAACTGCCAGGGTCGATCCGTTTGTTGATGTAGAAGCACACCCGGGTGGCATCATCATCCAGATATGTTAGGTGGAAGTGTCCTTTAAGAGGGTGGTAGGTCGTAGCTTTGAACGGATTGCGCCAGGGTTCCTGGATGGCGAGTATGTCGCATTCCAGAACTCTGGGGTTCTGGAACAGGCTGGCGAGGACGACATCTCTTGACTTCCAGACATTGTACTGTAAGATGCGTAGTTCCGGTGGCCCTACCATGTGTTTGGCGCTGCGTCGGGACCGTCTGTGCAAAATGGGCTTCGAATTGAGGACTCCGCGGGGGGCCTGTGCGTCCATCCAGGGGTGGGAGCGCCACCTTTTCCCGGTGTCTCGGAGCGTACTGTGAGGTGTCTTTGGGCGTATTCCACCTTCCTTATGTGTTTGCGCAGTGCTCCTGCGGTTGAGAAGTCCTTACCACAATACATGCATGTTTTCATGCAGTGGGCGATCGTTAGCTCGGCGTTGTGCGTTGGCCAGGTGCTGTAAACTTCCTGGTGCTGCGGGCATCGGCAACTCTTGTAGATATTTCCTTGGGCTGTGTGAGTGTTGGTTGCCAGGGAGGTCGGCGTGGATCCGGCCGTCCTAGGGTCGTTCGGTAGGCTTTCCGTGTCATTGTTCGCCAGATTGGCCAGCCATAAATCCGCGTCTTGTGTGTTGAACTCCCCTTGAATGCCTTCAAGCGGGTACAGAGATTGTTGGGTTAACGCAGCTTCTGGAGGCTCACCTTCGGTGACCTCTACATCTACTGTTAGGCGAGCCTCTGGAAATTGTTCCATTGCCAGTAGCTCTGGGTCGATTGGCACCTGCTGTGATGTGGGCTCTTGGTATGATGCCGGCGTTACCCAGTCTTCCGCAGCTGGCGTGTCGGCACGGGTCTGCGTCACCACTGTTGATTCTTGGAGAGAATCTCTCGTTTGTGTAGGTGGATTCTCCGGGGCGGCGGTGTCATCCGATGTCTCCAGGTTAGGTGTATCTGGTACTGTGATGGTTTGTTGGGGGGCTTGTTTCCGGAAGCTGTCGTCCCTGCGTAGTACACCTTTGGAGGCGACGTGCCAGTAGATGTTTCGGACCTGCTTGGCTAGCTCAATTCTACCCATCTCTTTCCGTCTTGCTGGGCAGGCGTTGCTCCATGCCGTGTGGGCATCTTTGCAAACTGGGCATCGGGGGGTGAAGCCCTCTACTCCCTTTTGCCTGCAGGTCTTGGTCTCATGTAGTTCGGCACAATAGCCGCATGTTTGGGCTGCGTCGCATTGAGTGCCGATGTGGCCATAATTGTAGCATCGGAAGCATTGCTTTACTCTGCACGCGCGGTCGTAGAGCTGGCATTGGTGTATCTGACCTTCCCATGCCATACCTGCATAGATGATAGCGTTGGCCATTTCCGGGTCTGTGAATTCAACAACGATCGAAGATGCGCGCTTGAGAGTGGCCTCCTTGGTGAGCCACCCAATGTACGAGATCTTGGCATGCGGGATCACTGTGTAGTTGTCTGCGAGCATCCTTTGAATGGTTGCATCTTGGTCTTTGATGTTGATGGAGTTGGTTGGAATACCATGAACGATGACTCCGTAGGTTGGTACAACGAGCTCCGCGTGCACTCCGAGACCTTTGACCCACCCTGGGTTCTGTTTGAGCTGAGCGGCCTCTGCTGTGGTGCTTGCGAATATCTTTATGTCCCCGCTCTTGAGCTGGTGCGCCGCGACCACTTTGATTACTTTGGTAGCTGTGTTGTCGCGTATCGAGATCTGTACTTGCTGTCTAATCCAGGCTGCGGAGTGTGCTCGGAATCGCTGGGCGACGCCATGGTCCTTGAGCTTGACTGTGACCACGCGGTCCTTGTATGCAGTGACTGCGGGAGGTGCCTTTGCGGTGGTTATTCCATGCGCTGCTGGCGGCGGCGGCGGCGGAGCGCCTTTGGCTTGCGCTGCCACCTGCGCCCACGTCGCAGCGGTGTTTCCGGTTCCGCTGAAGTTGGCTCTATTAAGCGGAGTCGTGCTCAATCCTACGGAGTTCTTGATGAGGGTCACGTCTTTCTGAATGCTCTGTGTGCATCGGGCCGCGTCCTGGACGTGCTGGAGGATCTCGCCCATGCCAGGTTGTCGCAGGACCTTGCCGATGAGCGCGAGGGTCGATGCCAGGTACGGCTGTACGATGTTCCATGGCACCTGGTTCTGCCGGCCTCTGTCGACCGCTTGCAATTGGTTGCATGCTTCTCTGAGGTATGTGGCGTGCTCATTGATGTGTTCGGGACCATTGTTTACATGTGGCCATTTGGGCGCCATCGCGTCGATTTCGACGCGTTCTCACGCGTTAATCGACGCAAATGCCCTCCAGGACACAGGTGATGTACGAAATTCGCAAGATATGACGCGTTTTCAAAAATTTGTTCTGAGCTGGTGGTGGTGTTTTTTTTTTCAGCCGCACCTGCAGCCAAAGTGTCGCACAGAGAGCCAGCCTTATGTCACATACGGCCCGCGCCCTGTAGTTGTTCGCGGAAGCGCGATCCTATAACGCGGGTGTTAAGGTCGAGCGCCTGCATGACTGCATGGTGCTTGGACCCCGTTGGGGTCAAAGCACACCAGCAGCCTCGGCTACACGGAATTTGCACCACAAAAGCAAAAGCTTTCCTTTGTGTATAAAGAGCAGCGCACTGTCGTGCGCTTACAGATAGCTCTTCAAGATAATTCTCATCAATTGACTGCATGCCAAATATGGATGACGTGGGCACGATTGTCTGACACAAAGACATCACGTACGCCCCAGCTGTGACTTACGTGCCGTCCAGTTCTGTCGCACAGAAAGACAGGCTCACATCGTATACCATACGTACTCAGCATGGGTCCGCACGGCATTCCGATGCTATAACACGCACGTTAAGGTGAGCAATTGCATACGTGTGTTTTGGGCCCTCGTTGAGGTCAAAGGTCAAACACAGGCTGCATCAGGCATCGCCAACAGCCTTTCTTACACGGATTCTGCACCACAAAGCAGGCCTCTCCTTTGTGTATAAAGAGCCACGTATTGAGTGCATCTAGCTCGGGCTCTTTAAGATAATTCTCATCAATTGACTGATACCAAAAGTGGACCCAGTGAACCCTGTTGTCTGACACAATGAAATCCCGGTGTAGATCGCTGTCGTGGCTAAGTGACGTTGTCGACCATAATACGCGGGTTATAGCGTCGGACTTCGGCGAAAAATTACTCTGAGCGCAGATGGCATGGGACATGAGGCTGGCTCTCTGTGCGACACAGTCCGAGCGACGCTTCCGTGCCGGAGCTGAGGCGCCGAGTCGCGGTACAGTAGTCAGTAGCCACCGCCTTGGCTGAGCGCGGCAAACTCGGCCACGATTAAAGTTTCAACTTCGAAGGACGCACGACTGAGGCTCGCAAACTCTGCTGCTGAAGATGAGTATTTACATGTCAATGAGACCGTGCTCGTCTGTTCCGCCGCCTTGTTCCAGCCGTATGTCGTCATTATAACAGAATCCAGACGCCACAAACTGCAATGAGCTGGTACCAAACGGCGAGTAACCCGCTCTAGTGAAATCGTCCGGACTGTCTAGAGAGGAACAGCGCTGCGTTTAGCTAGATTATGCGCGTTCACAAACAACTGCACCATCCTATGTTTCTTTGCTCATCAACGTCGAAACAGTGACCGCAATATTACGTCGAGAGTGTGAGTTTCTCTAACCGGTGACCCACATTTGGTTAAACGAGTGGACCGATAACAAATGCTAGAAAAATAGTAGCCTCACCCAAGGTTTCAGCATCGCCTTGTGCAGATCCAGAAAGGCTTCTCGTGCAGCGCGCGTAGGCAGCGTTCCAGATGAACGACGGCGGAAAGTATCGGGCAAGCAGTGGCTCGGAGCGTTCGGCGGATTCATCTCTCTGCCATGCAAAGTTGAAGAGGTGACTCACGTGGACAGTACTGCAATGGAATCTGACCAAAAGCTTGATAAGCTTCAGCGACGAAAGGCTTGTAGTCAGCCGCTGGCATGTGGCGTTATCGTGGACAACCAATAGTATAGTACAATGCAGCCCTCGCAGCGCGACAAGCCATGCCAAAGAGCAGCAGTGCCAAAACTCGTGCTCCCCTAGGCAAATGAATGCAACACCGCGCTCTCAAACTCCGCGCAACATCTCGTTTTGAAATTCCCTAGGCAGGTGATGGATCCTCGCAAAGCGCATACTGTCGAGCCGATGTCGAGCGCGGCTCTTCCGCCGTTATGGCTCGGCTGCCGAAAGCAAGCATTGTTGGTGCTTCTATCCTTCATCATCAATTGGGTTACTGCCAAAAACCCTAGGGACAATTTTTGCCGGAGATTCGCACATCAGACAACGGTCATCGATGACAAGCTGTATATCGATGGCGGTTGGGTTAATTTCGATGACTTTCAACAAGATCACCTTAATATTTCCAGCAAGTCAACACAACGGGACGCAGCATTCGTTCTACGGAATCGAATGCCAGGAGAGATTTTGCGCTAACGCAAGGATAAAAGATACTTGGCTGGGTTATCATGATCTCAATGAGCTCGTGATTAGAGGCGGTGATCCTTGGCCCGATTTGAACATCAGCCTAAACAAGAACAACAGGTAAGTAAACCTTCATGTAAACCATCATGGCCTGAATTGCACCGTTACGGAAGCCGTGTCTACTCCGCAGACGTCGAGAACGATCGATTCAAGAATATACTGACTCCGAACCTTTAGCATTCCAACAGTACATGGTGGTATTCTATGGGGTGATGATGTCAATAAGAGATTCTATCTCTATGGCGGCGAGTGGACTATTGGGTTTGCACAAGCACCCTACCACCTTTTAAGCTACGATATTTTATATGACAAGTGGGATGATTTTGGACAGCCCAGTATCAACCCACCTCCAAAGATTGCCTCTTATGGAGCCGGAGTGGGCGTATCGGAGACCGGTATCGGTTATTACTATGGAGGATGGATAAGCAATTCCTCCATGAGTGGATGGACTCAGCCGCGAACAATGAGCTCGAGCTTCTACACTTATGCCTACGACACAGGCACGTTCACGCAAGCGGCTGCCCCAGACAAGAATCCGAGAGCCGAAGGTGCAATGGTATGGATCCCAGCCGGTGATAGCCTTGGACTACTTATATACATGGGGGGAATTGTCAGTCCATCCGGTAACGGCACAGGCAACGTCACGGGTAACGGCACGGCCGCTCCGCAACCATTTGACAAGATCTTTGTGTTTGATGCCAAGGGCAACTCATGGTCGACTCAGACAGCAACAGGAGAGATACCACAAAATAGGCGCCAATTTTGTGTCGACGTGGCCTGGGCACCAGACAAATCAAGCTTTAACATGTAAGTGCTGGTACTTCTTCACCACGGTAACGCGCAACACTAAGCTAGCAAAAAGCTATCTCTGGGGAGGCCTGAGCGTGCCGCCTCCAGATGTAAACGTAACCTCATTCAACGATATATACATCTTAACACTCCCCTCGTTCATCTGGGTGAAGGCTTACCCCGATCACCACGGCAACGCCACACTGCCACCGGACTATGGCCACTACAGTGCTTCCTGCAATATGGTCAAGTCCATGTCGCAGTTGTTCGTCATCGGTGGTACCTACACGAACACGGATGCGTGCGATCTCGCTGTCGATGCATGGGCACAGCATAATTTTTGGACGGGGACGAGCCAGAACGCCGGGGATAACAAGACGTACTGGGCGCTATACGATCCCAACGTCACAGGCAATGTTGTCCCTGTTGACGTTTATAGTGCTGTTGGTGGAACAAAGGACGGCGGCGCAACACTCGTGAGCCCTAAAGCTGGATTTGACTCTGGAAACAAACCCCTCGAGGACCTGTTAGGGCGGAGGCCATCAATTCCTCCTCGGTCTCCGACCCGCCACATCCCCAGCCCCACCAACTCGTCGACGTCGATGCCGACGCCGACGCCACCGGCCCCTCCGACGTCCTCACTCTCTACCGGCGCAATCGTTGGCATTGCTATTGGCGGCGCCGTGGGGGCGCTGTTCCTCCTGCTGCTGGTGTGGATCCTCATCCGTAGGAGGGTTGTCCGTCGTCAGGATGAACGACGCCAATCGGAAATGACGCAAGCTTCCTATAGCGGCGGCAGCATGGCGGGGCCACCGAGCACGGCCAGCCCGCACACGTCCGTGAGCAACTGGTTGATGGGCTCCAGTCCTAGGAATCCAAAACCGGCGTATCCCACACAGCCATCTGAGCTCCCTACACAGCAGGGAGTCAATCCAGGTGTTGCCAGCGAGCTACCCTAGCAGAGGGGTGAGATGGGGACCTCAAGGCTATTATCCCGCGTCCGTTTCTAAATTGATGACAGAAAGGGGCGCGTCGCGATATTCTCACCGTGCGGCAGAAATTTTGTAAGAGCACTGCCGTGGCCACGTTCGCCGGTTTGTGATGCGTAAAGTTGACAAGGGCGTGTTGGGTCTAGTCTGGGTTTGTTACACACTATGGAGGACTCTTGAAGCAAATTGATGCTGAATGTTCTGCCATATCAAGTCGCTCGTTGATGCAGAACGTCAACAGCACTGCTGCCCTCTATTAACGTGGGATTGTAACGTGGGATTGTAACGGGCGTGGCCCGTATCGGTCTCGGCAGTGGCTACTACTACTACTGTAGGCACTCTTGCCTGGACTGTAGTAGAGTTCGTTGAACGGTCCACTGCAAATCTTGTTCGCGCTCACCATCATGGTTGGGGGACTGCAGTACGGCTCGTAGAACCATCTCACACAAATGCCGAGGGCGCTACTCACTCACTAGTTAATTACGCCCGGTGGCTAGCTGGCCAATAGAGCAACGGGCTGGTAAACGAGATTGGCAGAGTACTCAACGGCGCAATACGCACTGTCCTGCCAGTCTGGCGCACAACACCGACGTCAACCCTATACCGGGACGCTGGCCTTCCCACAGCCCAGGTCGCCCTGGACAAAGCACGCATGAACTTTAGCATTCGTCTTCGGGCAGTCGACCAGGACCATCCGCTCGTCCGCCGCATAAGCAGACGCAAGGTCCGCGGCGGAAAAAGGTACGGGGACCTGCAACAACCAAGGACAAGACTCCAGCACGCTGCACTACTGCTACCCGACTTCCCACGGCCCGTCTTTATACACAATGAGGCGGCTCAAGCCCCAAACAGCGTACCAGAATACGGATCCAAGGCAGACGAGGCGAAGGCCTTCCGACAATGGCAGAGTCAACTACCGGACGCACACGTAGTAGTCTTCTCTGATGGCTCCAAGCTGTCAACTGACGCGGTCGGTTGGGGGTATGCGATTTATCAGGGAACACGAAAGATAGGCCAGGGGAAAGGGCGCTTAGGCGTCGCTGAAGTTTTCGACGGCGAGGTAGAAGGGGCGCTCAATGGCTTGCGACAGGCGCTACGCACCCGCCCTGGCCATCGCATACACGTTTGCCTTGACAACACTGCAGTCATGCGAGGACTTCTGGGAGAAGCGGCTGAAAGCTCGCAGGCAGCTTTCCTCGAATTCCAAGACTGTGCAGCCACAGCCAGCGTCGAGGTCCGCTGGGTACCTGGTCATCAGGGAATCGAAGGGAACGAGGAAGCTGACCGCCTTGCGAAAGAGGGAGCCACCCTCCCACTAGACTCGGACAAATCGCCTACTCTGGCGGGAGTACGACGTCTCGCGCGCACCAAAGTGAATGAGCAGTTCTCACGCTGGTGGGAGCATGAGATGACAAAGGTGAAGAGATACCGAGAACATGGTCTAAAGACGGCGAAGCTCGCATGCCCTCCCGAGCTTTACCTTCCCAGGCGAACTCTACACTCGCTGCTGTCGGCGAGGTCCGGTCACGGGGATTTCGAATGGTACCACCGCCGGATGGGACACACAGACTACCAGAACTGCACATGCGGAAAGATGAAGACACCGGACATCCCGTCCATTGCAAGAAGGCCCAGAAATTTCGCCCACAGTGGCCAAAGTTCGAACCAGAGCCTGCTAGTACGAAAGAGTACTGGTCGTGTCTCATGGCAAGTCCCACAGACTTCGCATCGTTCATGCAGGTGACACGCTTCTACGAGGACATCTGTCCATAAAGACGGCATGGCAGAACACAATGCTCCGCTCCCTACTTCTATATCTCCTTTGTGTTGTTTCCCCTATCTCTAGGGCGCATGATAGAAGATGTTTCGACGTCTTCCATAGTAATAAAGACGCCGCCGGACACGAGCTCAAATGGAGGAGCCCACGGGAACGGCAAGACATGATACTCTCGTCATTGGATTTGAACTGTAGGATATCTAGGCCAGACTAGGTAGACTCCTGCCGCCGCATGCCCCCAGGGAAGCCTGGAGCGCTTCGCGCTCCCCCGGCGTTAAATATACAAGGCAAGGCAAGGCAAGGCCAATAGAGCAACTATCTGCTTAGTTCCATGTTCACTTCCAAATTTGACGAAGTCTCAAAATAGCCCATACCTTCTCCACCTCCAGCTGTTTGTCTTTCCCGTTTGTCATGACGCCCTATTCCCGTGTGTGGATTTTATTAACAAGCAAGCTTGGAGGCGATCTCCAAGTGTTCAGAGTCCTATCTACGGCGGCTGAAGCGGTGCCTGTTGTTGGCCGCACGGGTGATGTGCAAGGGGGTTAGTAATGAATGGCTGATCCATCAAGGACCCCTCAATGTCGTGTGTTCTCCAATCGCCCTGTTGCTAACGCGTAGCGGATCGTGGCCCGCACTGCTTCCATGTTTGGTGCCAAGTTTTCATTGTCCGATCGTTGCTTGCCTCCCAGGTAGAACGAAATGTTCCCTCGCTGTGTGGCTGTGCATTGTATCCAGCGCTACCCACCAATCAATCCATACCAATCAAGGAAGTCAAGTTTCAATCAAGTCGAGCTCACGTCTCCCAGTCAATCAATCAATCTTCCAAACCCCTTCGATTGAATCCGATTGACATAAATCCTTGATTATAAAATATGCTGACACCCTCACCGGAGGTGGGGAGGGTGTAATACAGTCCGAAGGATGTATCTCTATGACATGACATTTCAGACTACTAACACTGGCTGTGTGCTGGTGCTGCATCGAGCGGTGCGTGCGTGACCGGGATATGTTTTGGCCCTCTCGGTGCACTATAGCGACATCATCAAGAAAAAAGAGGTTGGAAGAGTGGCTGCTCAAGTTGCTGTTGCTTGCGCCGATCCTCGTCGCGGACTTTCATCAGAACACCTGCTACTCTGTTAGGACTAATGGAGCCCCCAGGCATGCATAACATGATGGAGTTCTACTTGCCATCAGGTAGCTTCTCATAGTGGAGAGACGCCCGTTCAAAAGGCGTGTCGATCATTAGGCCCTCCAATGTCTTGACCCTGGAGACTGCAACATAGCTAAGCCCAGTCTGGAAGTCACGTTCAGACAGATCGGTCACCATTTTGTCCACTGTGATGCTCTGTGACTTGTGAACCGTAATGGCATATGATGCCATGAGTGGGAACTGCGTTCGGGTACAGGCGGACGCCCCAAGAAAGAAGTCGCGCTTCACTGGGAGTATGGGCACTACCTCGCGCCCATCATCCGTGGTTAGATACGATGGCCCGGTATACTTATCCATCACCATCATAATGACAGACGGCGGGTCACGGTGCGTATCAGCGCCAGGCGCCCAACCGATGTCATATACTGTCCCTTGGGCCCCATTGACTAGGCCTGTTGGATGCCAGATGTTCTGGGTCAGCATGAGACGAGCACCAATGCATATCGCAAACTGGCCAGCCAGGTTGCCAGCTTGTTCCGACGTTGCCTTGTCAGCACCGTTACCAAGGTTCTTCGCCGTGACTTGGATTGCTGGGCGCTTCAAACGGACGAGATGCTCGTAGTTGTACTCGTGAACACGAGCTTTCTTGCCATAGATACGAAGAGCAGCATCAAACGAATCTACGTCGCGCTGGCCAAGCTTGGCCTGCACACGCTGGCTCAGAAGTTTCCATGACTCTACCGATAGCTTTAGGCCACGTAATTCGTCAAGTGCAAGACGAAAGCCAGCCTGGTCATCGCCCTGTTGCCGCTGAGCTTTTTTCAAGAAGACGGTGTGGCTAAACGCCCTATATGCCGTCTGGACAGAGACCTCTTGCAGGTCTTTGAGTGGTCCATCAAAGTAGAGAGGCTTGTTTGCAATCGGCGGGAGCTGGAAGAAGTCACCAACGAGGATGATGCTCATGCCGCCAAAGAATTCGGCTGCTCTGGAAGGAAAGACTTGGCGGAGGCGTTTGTCGATCCACGAAAGTTGACGCAGACCTAGCATACTTTTCTCATCAATCACAAGATACCTAACGTCCCGTAGCTTCTTCTGAAGAGCATTAGCATCTGCTGGGGAGAGCTCCGTAAAAGCCCTGTCCACAGGGAGCCGGAGTAGAGAGTGCAGTGTTGTCCCCATTATCTGGTTGCTTGCAACGCCCGTGGGTGCAGCTCTCCAGATTGGACTGGGCCGGTTACCGGCAAGCTTCTGAAGATGCGAAGACAGGACTTTGATGAGGTAGGACTTGCCTGTCCCGCCACCACCGTCAACATGGAGTAGAATCTGCTCCTCGCTGTCGCATTGGAAGTGTCCAACAAATGTATCGTATACGATCCGCTGCTCTGGGTTAAGGGTATCGCGGACCTCGAAAGGCAGGTCTTCAATGTCCATATGGAGACGATTCTGCGCAATGAGTTGGCGCCAATAATCGCCCTGAACGATTCCTGGGTGGGCGTAGCGGCCGACGTGGGGCGTCCAATCGTATTGGACATCGATATCCCGTCTGCCCAGCAGATCTACCGCCTCTTGGCTTGGTGGGCAGTCAGGAAGCTGGCGGGCAAGCTCAAGCCAGTCCTCCTCCAGAAGGTCAGGCTCGTGAAATTCATCCTCGAACTCATCCGGATCCGGCCGACGTTCTTCGGCGTTAGGTGTGCCATAGTAGTCATCAGGGTGCTGGTGGTTCGCATAGCAGAATTCGGCGGCAGATGCATACGAGCCATAGTCGACACCGTTGGTCTTGCGGAGTTCGTTGGGATCGCGATGTGGGTGAGCCAGCATCAGCTTCACACGACAAAAATCTTCGTATTGGGGATGCTGGCGGTTGGACCTATACCGCGGGAAGTAGTATAATACACGAGGCTTGGCTTGACGACTCCAACGGGTCCACTTTCGCCCATCTCTCTTGCTTGTATTCCAGTTGGCTAGGAAGTCAAGGTAAGTGAGTTCTTCATGAAGGGGAGGGCGAGAAAGATACTTCTCATATAACCCAACGACCTCAGCCTCGTCATCATGATCACCATGGAGGCGAAGAGACCGTCCCTGTTGCTCGTAGGGACGGCAATCAACGGCTCTAACAACACGGGTGCCTTCCTGCAGCTCGCAGTTGAGCAGGATATGGCAGATCTCTTGGCCCGAGAAGTCCCTCTCAGCAAGCAGCTTGTTCATCAGGCGCGAGGCGAAAGAAAGAAGTGGGTTCTGGTGGGAAACGTAGGGCAAGATTTGCCGCCCCAGACTCGCATAGCTCTCAGTTTGCTTCTCCATCTTACTGCAATACTTGGCTGCATAATTGATCACAGCTTGCAGGCTGGTACAGGGGGCGATGTCAATGTTGGCTAACCAGCCAAGGCTGAGACACCGGTTATAGTGGTTCATGAGGCTGTCATTCCTGGCCGCCTCGAAGGAGAAGTAGGATTGTCCTTGTCGTTGAACAACGTCAGCTGTATCTCTCGTATCTCGTGGGAAGAAAAAGCGGCAAGAAATGTCTTCCGACCCCTTCTTCTTTCGTAAACAGTATGCCTCACTGCAACGGTGGCGCTGGCAGCGGTTCAGAACCTGTGAGAGCCACTGGAACGTCAAGGGATGCTGCAAAGGATTGACAGCCAAGGGATTGCCTTCTCCTTGCTGTTGCACTCGAGCTGGCTCAGGATTGAAAGCTGCGACGTGGAATGACCAGATCCGGGCGAACTCCTTGCGCAAATGCTCATTTTGCAAGTCAACACTGGGCGCACCGTCCATCCAGTATAGGCCATGGCAATGGCTACTTCCGCGGCCCTGCCATTCATACCTGTTCCAAAAATCAGTGACATTGAATTTCTGCTTGAGAACGATATCTCGGAATAAGCCAAACCGCTTGTAGAAGTGCCAGGCTGCAATATGTGGATTGTCCCTGAGAAGTTTGCTAGACATGCCCATTCGTTGTTGCTCGGGCAACTCCTGCCAGTCTTGAAACTGGGGCAAATGTTGATAGAGGCTCCTCCAGTGCAAGTCTGCGGGGCTGAATGTAAGAAAACCACCAGGACAGCCGAGGTTGTAGGCGTATGACTCGAGCTCTCGGCGCTTTCGATACCAATATGGCCGTGTCCCGCGAAGCTGTGCTGTCTGGCGGTTGATCGAGTTGAGTAACTGCTGCGCTTCTGCCGATTCAGGGTTCTGGAAAGCCTCGAGTAGATCATCTCGCGTTAGTAGGCCCTGCCTTTGCTGGTGTTGCTTGACGAAGTAGCTGCTTTTCGCTCGGGCCTGTGCTCTCATCAGCATGTTAAAAGCCACAAAGCGGAATGTGGGATGACGGGCGAATCTGCCGTCATGCCACCGAAGGGCATGCTGAATATAGTCCGCATACTTGATAGGTCGCAACCTTGGCGCAATGAAATCCGCCTCACCACAAGGAAATAGCGATGGAAAGGCTAGGGACAGGAGTGGCTGTGACTGATTGAATTCATTTATCGGTGTTCTCCGAATATCTGGCATTTCAAGCAGATGTTGTGTTGATGCTCTTGCAGGAAGCAGCTCATCGCGCTCTTCGCCAAGAACGTGCGAATGCAATGCGTCCATCTCTGTATCATCTGGTAGCAGATCTGGCACTGCCGACTGGTCAACCTCATCTGGTTCAACGTCATCATTCTCGATGGTATCGAAATCGGCTGCAAGAGGATCGGTGGCTTCCACAGTAGCAACTTGATCAAGTACATCGCCATCTTCGGGAAGCACTGACATCCGCTTCTGGCAGACAGTAATATCTCGGTAGCCGGGGTGCTTGTTTGACAGGAAGTCCAGCCATTGCTGAAGGCAACGACGGCGTACGCGGAACTGGCGTCTGAATTGGCGGTCAAGGTGGGCATGTTCGCCTGCATTCGGTGGACGTAGCAAGATAACATCTAATTCGGGGGGTAAAAGGGGAAGTTGTCGATACACTTTGCCAACATCGCGGAGAAAGTGCACAATATGGCCACGATATTTGTATTGCTGCCCTCGAACCTGCATGACGTTCACGAACACATGAACTGGAGCAATTAGCATCTCTTCTACTTTCGTCAATTGGGGGAGAAACGCAGGGATTGAGCCAAAATCCAACTGATTTTCGGCTGAAAAAAACCAAGGCTCATCCTCTTTTTTGTTCTTGTCCTTGGCGATGCAACGCTTGCAAATGCCATCTTTCAATCTCATGTCAAACCATGTCTCCTGACAGCGAGCGCAGTATTCCATTCGGTCGTTTTCCAGCTCCGTCCAGAATTTCTCCAGGAGCTCCTTATCTCTATCAGACAACGGGCAATGCGAGAGATCACCCATCCAGTCTGGGTCCGGACGCTCGAACTCTGGACGTTCCGTGACCGGGCATTCGATAGTCGCCTGCCGCAGCGGCACATGTGGGCGAGAGTGTCTCCCCCAGGCTCGCCTCGGGAAAATTGGACTCGACGCCGGAGATTCGATCGGCGTTCCAAGTCGTACGCCTTCATGAGAAGAAATTGAGGGACATGGTCGGGAAGTAATCGTCGCCGGTGCGCCTGCTCCTGGTAACGTGACAATTGGTGTTCCCAGCAGATTAGGCTCTTGTGAGACAATTGGTGTACCTAGTTGCAAGTCTAGTAATGGCAATCCTTGTCGACGTATTGGGGATACACTCACTCACTCACTAGTTGATTACGCCCGGTGGCAGCTTGGCCAATAGGGCTACTATCTGCTTATTTGACATTCTTGTTAGGCAGTCCTTCCCTGGCTGCCTGGGAACCCTTGTCATGCTCGATTTCTCCTTTGATCATTCCGCCTTTCTTGCTGCATTTCCATCGCACTACGGGGTCTCGTGGAATT